TTTGAGAAGGCGGAGTATTCAAGACTATTCTTTTACTTTTGCAATACATTTTGGTGTCATACAAACATTACTAAGAACATAAATGTAATAACTATATTTTTAATACTATGGCTGTTGTTGCTTGTTTTACTATTACTCATTGTTATGATACTGTACATGACGTCCTCCGCCCCCGAGTGTTTCCGTCATCTCGGTTTAGGGGTGTGACAAAAACCAAAAGGGCATAAGTGCATGTATATAGGTATATACACTTTGGAAATCATATTTAAGATAACCTCTTGAAAGTAAACAAGTTTTATCAAAGCAAAAATAGACAAATAAATTGGAATAGGAATCATGGATTTAAAACATTGTTTATTAGTATTTAGACTTATATCACACCCCCAAACCAGGACGACGGAAACATCTGGGGCCGGATGGAGTGACTTAATGTACAGTATCATAACAATTGAATAGTAACGAAACATAGCAACACAAACATTCATACATTGAGGTTTCAAGTATTACATTGTTTACAAAACTCTATTTGTTCAAAAGTCGAATACAAATAAGAGGTTTCAAGTATTACATTGTTTACAAAACTCTATTTGTTCAAAAGTCGAATACAAATAACTGAAAAGTAGAAAAAACATGAAACGGCGACGCCGACCCTCAAGAATGGTTGAGTACCTGCCTAGTGTTTTCCTGAGAATACATGTGATTTTGAAAATCATCAACATTGAATGTTGGTGGGTTCATAAGCATTTTGTATGAAAAATGTTTGTAACTGTTTCACGAAAAATAATTTCGTATACTTCCAGAAAATTCGATATTTTCTTTAATATGAACTGTAATTGTATGTAATTCATTTGTATCTTTTCCTTGTAATGTAATAATGTATGTTGCCAGAAAATCGAATATTTTCCTAAATATTTTCTTAAATATTGAAATTAATTCATTGATGTCCTTTTTGTTTGAATTTCATAAAGAAGATAGATCGCATTTTTTGGTTTTGTGACTTCTCGAAATCTATATGAGAAAGGGTTTTCGTCTGATATAGTATTTCCTCAAGTTGATGACTTCCATCAAGTGTTTAATTGGGTAGATAAGTATAGAACTTCGGCGGATAAAAAAATGATTCTTGATGTGATTGCTTGTGTGACTATTTGGATGATTTGGCGTCATTAGAATGACATTGTTTGTAATGATAAAATTTCGTATAATGCATGAATTGATTTTTGATAGTATAGTTGAATTCTCATTTTCTTTGTATGGTTTTAGAAACAACAAAAGTTAAGTTTCTTTGGAATAATTGGCTCCAAAACCCTCTTTTAGCTATTTTGTTGTAATTGGTTTCATTATATTTGTTTTTTTTCTCTATCCTTTGGTTAGTCTTTATTATAAAAATTTAGCTGTTTCAATAAAAAGTGCAAAAATAAAATCATAAAACTTTAAACCTATTACCTTTTAAGGCGCCTTCTTATAAAGTTTGAAGTTTTTTAGAAACTATGTCACATTGCATTCAACCTTATAAAATTCATTTTACATAAAATTTTGTAAACTCTACAAAGTATAATAATAAAAAATATTTTTTACATATATAAATCATTTTCTGATGCAGCAGCTCAATGAATATTGAACTTTAAGTCTATAGTATGTTATTTTGACATCTCATTATGAATCATTATGACTAAGCTTAATTCATTGTATACCAGCAACTCATTCAACATGTGGATGATCTTAAAATTTTAAATTGTAGTTGTTTTTCTAGTAAGCTGTGTCCAACGAGTGCATGAGTATTATTTTAGTAGTAGGTACATCATACACATTAACAATACAAGTTTTATTGCGTGGAAATTTTAAATTTCAATATTAATTGAGTTTTAGTTACAAAATTACATTTCAACCTTATGGAAGTTGTATGGTCACTTTTCAAGTAAGTAATTGATAATCCGTCGGTTTCCGTCGATAATTACCAACAAAATATTTTAATTGCATTTATCCTTGTCACTATTCCGTTGGAATTGCGTCACTATTTTCCGACGGAAAATTTTTGTCAATAATTTCCGTAAGTGTTACATCCAGTTTTCTGTAGTGAAATATAACTTATTTCTAAAGTTTAATGACTAAATTTTTAAAAGAATATTCAATGGCTAAGACAAGCATTTGTTAAACTTTACTGAAATCTAATGATTTTTAAATAAAAATAAATGATTAACAAAACTGGAAGGTACAAGTTAACTGAATCTAATAATTGCTTTGGTTTCTTAATAAAAAGTAATCTATACCCATGATGATGTGTTCTCTATCAATAATTCTTAATAATGTAATATATTAAATAATATTTTTTTTCTCAATGTAAAAATAAATATAACATGCTTTTATGTTCCAAAATCAAATATCACATTTTTTGAGCCATTTCAACTCAAGATCATTCATTCATCCTTATTTATTGTAGATATTTAAAAAAAAAAAATTGATTTTAGTTATCAAGAACCTAAGTAATCGACCTCAAACTCGCATGTCTTTAGGACTTTTCTAGATTTGGTTTCATAATGTTTTAATTCATGTTTAAATTCATTAGGTGTGATTACATGTTTGATTTTGATTTTGGTGTGGTTTAGATCTAAAGTTTTAGGTTTGATTTTGGTGAGCTTCCTTTAATTTGGTGTCAAAGGTGACTACTACCCTTGATTTGGCTATGTGGGTAGCAAAAAATGACAAGGATGTTGGTGATTTGTATTATCAATATGTATTTAAGTGTAATGGATTAACTTTTTGATCAAATACAATTTTGATAAACATTAAATAAGTAAGAAAAATACAAAATACATACTTGTTTAAGTTTGATCAAGATTCAAATTATATTGTTATTTATGGATGAAACCCCTGAATGAATGGGGTTCGGGGGCAATGGCCTTGGTAGTGGGGTCCAAGGGGTTGGAGCTTCTGGCTGGAATCGAGTTGTTTTGGGTTATATTGCTATGTTAAAATGCATCAGCAATTCAGATATTTAGAAATTTGACCCACTTGTGACCCTTATCCAAATACTAGTTTTATGACAGTTTTTTGTGGTTTGTAATAGTTTTCCGATAGATTTAAAACCAAGGTTATAATTCTGGTACACTTGGAATTCATATCAAAACCATTCCATTTTCTTGTTTCTCTCATTCTGAGTCTCATCCAATTGTTTATTTCGGAAGTACCATCGAAATACTTCAATTTAAAAGTATCGTCACGATTCTCAGAATTTCAAGTGGTATTTTACCCAAATCTCTAACAAAGGAGATGCTTGTTATGAAATAATCCGAAAAACGTTGAAGAGATGATTGTTATGAAAAAGAAGATACAAAATTAAATAAACCAAGAAAGTTCGACACTTAATACCACAATTTTATAATAAAATATGGTAGACTTTATATCTTTTGATCTAATAATTTTATAGTTAAAGATACTAAAATTATTAAAAAATGTCTATTTAAACTATAGAACTTTTTATTTATTATATTCATTATTGACCGGGGGTCGATTGGGGGACCACATTTTTATTTTATTTGAGGAACATGTGGATTAATTAAGGAATTACAACTCTATTGTAACACAATTGCTGCATGATCTTTGCATGTATCTAACTTTTTTAGGATATTAGAACGGGATCCGCTTTTGGGATTTTTATCGAATTAATAACAATAATATTTTTAGTTTAATAGTCTCGAGATAACAAGTTCACGAATAAACCTAAAGAAGTTGCTTATGCAAATTACATAAAACACACTATATTTCGGCCGATTTTACAGTTTAGGCCTTGTTTGATACCCGTCTGACTCGGTCCGGGTCAGCGATTTGGATTGACTCAGTCAGACAAACATGTTTAATACGTGCTGAGTGGGTCAGAATGTCTGGACCAAATGACTTACTTGGTCCGCTTACAACATGTTGCTGACTGGAACAAAAGACTCTCCTGCCAAATGTTCCAGTCAGCAACATGTTGTAAGCTGACCGAGTAAGTCATTTGGCCAAGACATTCTGACCCACTCAGCACGTATCAAACACGTTTGTCTGACCGAGTCAGCCCAAATCGCTGACCCGGACCGAGTCAGACGGGTATCAAACAAAGCCTTAGTGAAATATTTTGATTCCTAGTAGTTGAAGATGGAGGTATAGTCATATATAATGATTAAAATATATTTTGGTTGAACATATTGCCATACAATAGATAACACTTAGTAAGAGATCGTTTGGCATCTATTCCCTCATAAATTCATAATCTTTAACGATGAAATAAGTCAAGCAAATATTCAAATACTGTATTGCATATTTAAAGAGGGTGGCACAGTGGTCAAACACCTCATATTCTGGATCTAAACCAGTTTCAATCTGATACATATACATATATATATATAATTATATACTATATATATATTAATCAAGATTCCCATTTACATTCCCGTTTGTAATGCCATTTCCATCGCCATAGTGTTGAAGCTTTGAATCGCAGAAAGCCTCTCAATGAACATATCAAAATCCTCTTCTTTACTCACCATACTAACCCTTACATACCCAGGATCCGACCCGAATCTCCTTCCACTCCTTGTTAAAATATTCTGACCTCTAAATACCTTCTCACAGTCCTCGATCCCTTCCTTACATTTAATCCATGCAAAAGCTGTCACATCAACATCACAGTTTCATTTCAATTCAATCAATGAATATGAAAATTCAGATATATAGTTTTTTGAAACAATAACTCATTTGACCCTTTAATTAATTTATTTATTTACCTGGATGTGCTTGAGTGACGTCACCTGTGTAATTACAATGCTGAAGAGGGTACTTAGGTAGAGTAAACATTCTTGTTTTCTTCACAGTTTCCCTTA